TGGGCTTCATCCTTATGGGATTCTGACCAAAGCTTGTCACAGACATTACATTAGGACACCAGGGAGCTAGCTTAACTTGTTGAAATAGGGTAGAATATGTCTCCTTTAAAACCTGGTGATTTTTTTTGTGTTTTCCAGGATAAGGAGCATCCCCGGTTTCTGATCCCTGAGCTGTGTCGCCTCTTCTACCAGTTGGGATGGGTCACGGGAACCGGGGGCGGGATCAGCCTCAGACGGGGGTTGGTACCTATTAGGGTCTTCTAAAGTATCGATACTCAAAAAAGTATTGATACTAAAACGTTGTATCCTGATACGATCCCCCCCCCTTCACTCTGATTTATTTATTTTCGTTGTTTATGATCATTAACAAGACGTTAGCCTTGAATTGCTATCTGCGGCTAATGGCTAATAATAACATGCTAACATTAATCAAGTCTGCAGGAAGTCAAGGATGGAGATCCAACTCCCCCACATCCGAGTCGGCCATTTTGATTAGGTCACCAATAGGAAGATCCCAGGCTTCATGGCAATATAGACATTAATTTAAAAATAGAGAAATTAATCTTTGAAACACTGAAAACTCTACACATAATATTATGTTAAAATAGTGTAATGTTAAATATGTTTGTACAATAAGTCCAAACAAGTTTAACCAAAAAATATTAGGGTTAGGGTTAGGGTTAGGGTTAGGGTCAGGTTTAGGGTCAGGTTTAGGGTCAGGGTTAGGGTTAGGGTTAGGGTTAGGGTCAGGGTTAGGGTTAGGGTTAGGGTTAGGGTTAGGGTTAGGGTTAGGGTTAGGGTCAGGGTTAGGGTCAGGGTTAGTGTTAGGGTTAGGGTTAGGGTTAGGGTCATTAATGTGGGCCACCATAACATCAGTAACAGGTCAGTTTGAAACCAAAGACACTAACCTGTCAAAATTCAGTTACATTTTGGGCTCTTTGTTTTTATCCTTGTGGTATCGAAAATGGTATCGAGTATCGAATATTTTCCAGAGTATCCGTATCCAGTTGAACATTTTAGTATCGTGACAACTCTAGTACCTAGATAGAATAATGTCAGGCATCCTAAATGTTCAGGACCCCCCCATTCTCTCCACTTTAGGCCTCACACCACTTCAGTTTGCTACTCTGGATATGGTCATATCTCTGAAAATGCTCCGATAATACCAAATATCCCTTTTTGTTCAGGAGGGGCTTTAGTGGAGGCGTGCAGAGACAAACATTTCTGTGGGTGGTCAGTTGTGTTGGTTCAGAAAATCTGCAGGAAAAGGCGAGATGCCGAATTCAAACTGAAGCTTTTGACAGTTTATTCCAAACAACTCTGACATGCGGAGCTTTTTATGTCAGTGACAAACGATAAACCGCCCATTAGAAGTTTCTGTGAGAAACGGGGAGCGGCGGAGCTTTTTATGACGAATCACGACATTTGGTTCTGCACAAAACTCCCATAGAAACGTCTCTAATAGACACACAAAGCATTTAGAACCACAGTAGGAGGCTCTGAATCATTATACTGACAGTTCTGGGACATATTCCCAATTTTTTGATGGCAAAATTAAAAATAAAAAAATCATCATGAGTCAACAAGTTTGAGATTCCCTCAAGCAAAAGTTGAATTATTATTAGGAGCATTTTTAATGCTCATAATAATAATGCTCATAATAATAACGCTCATAATGATAAGAATAATAACGCTGTTTCAGAGTGTGGCTGTCTCCATCTGTGTTTAGATTTGTTTAGATTTAGAGATTTTAGCTCTGATTCCTGGTTTCCCGCATAGTTTCTGTAGTTTGAGCTAGAAATGACTCACCAAACCTCACAGGCAAAATCAATAAAACTTCTCTCTATGGGCGTGTTTGCTGCAGGTATTTACGGGGGGGAGGACCTAAAGGCTCCAAAGTAGATAATTGCAAAGCCTTTCAGGGCCTAAATGAGGCCATCTGTTAAATATCTCAGTTTTACATTTATTTACATTTAATTTGGGTCTTTATTCCCTTCTAGTTAACGCTAAGCCCGTCCATTATGCGTTTTCTCTGTGTGGAGCATTCAGATTAAAGGAGGCAAAATACGTTTTAGTTTGGGATTTAAGACTGGAAAAGCCTCCTCTGTTTGTTTTTGCTTTAGTGTAACACAGTGCTAGTTCCCATTTCTGGCCACAGTTTATATTCATTCCACACGGGAACGTTTCCTCTGAAGACAAAGTGAAATCAGAGCAGTTTGTTTTTTCCTCAAACTCCACACAAACCGAGTCTTTGGTTTTCTGGTCTTGGATGTTAACCCTTTAAAGCCTGATCCAAGAAAAATAGGAAGAATATTGGATTTTTTTAGTCTGAAGTCTTTCTTTGGCCCCTCAACAACATATGAACAAAAAAAACAGAAATTATTTTGATCAAATTAGCGTGCAATAAGTCAGAAATATATGTGGGTGTAGTCTTCTACTGGCTGTTATCAGGTATATCTGAATGTGTACAACAGGGGTTTGAGCAAAGCTTTTACCACTGAATGATGCA